TGGTGGTTTGTGTGTTGCTCGAGGGTGGAAGCTATGCCACCAATATTTCAAGTACCATCAGGGTCACCCATGGTAGACAGGTTTGTGGGTGTGGGACCATGGAAATCAGGTGGATGGAACACTAACATGGGGATTGGTCAGTTTTGCCATCTCTCTAGGCTTCAAATGAGCCATCTTAGAGACATGAAGGGTGGGGGATCTCACTAAGATCTACAGAGAAGAGCCGGGCGTGGAGTACATCCTTTGGACCTGAGATCCCTGCTCTGAACCCCCTCAACCCCGGAGACAGAGAGCTGTGACACAGAGACAGCAAGAAGCGGCAGCAGAGGCAGCAGAACCGAGGCCAGCAGAAGACAGACAGACCCCCGCCCACTGCGTGAGCAAAGGGGGTGCCTTCCTGCTGCAGCGCGCTGGTGGGGTCGGGGCCTCTAGGGCCTCTAGGCATGCATCGGCACAGCCGAAAGAGCTTTGCAACACTTGGCTGAGCAGCACAGAGCCAAGCCAAGGGGCTGGGGGCTAGAAAGAGACCTGCCTTCAATTGTGAATATTGTCCGTGAGTTCTGTGTGGCCATTGCGATGAACCATTGTACCCACCAAAGAAAGAAGAGTGCCATGGGAGGGAGAGTTGGTGTCAGAATGGGTTAAAAAAAAAAGGGGGGGGGTTGGAGGGGGCCAGCATATCTGACCTCTGCCTTGTAGTGATCAGCCTTGGGCCATTGATCTTGATCCTTCTCCTCCCTTGTGAAGTTACAGAAGGTCAGACGCCTCCCTCTCCTCCTTCCTGCAATTTCCATGTGAACTAATGATACTGAGCATTTTTCAGGGGCTGCTTACTCATCCTAGCTTCCTTAGTGAGGGACCTATTCTAGTTTTCTTGCTCAATTGTCAATTGGGGTCTTTATTTTATTTTAATGTGGTAAAATATATGTAACATATAATTTGCCATTTTAACCATTTGAAGTGTATAATTCAGTGACATTAATTATATACACAATGTTATGCAACTATCACCACTATTTCCAAATCTTTGTCATCCCCTCAAACACAAAGTCTGTACCTATTAAACAATTCCCCATCCCCTTTCCTCCAGCCGCTCAACTCAACTCACTGACTTCAACTCACAGCGTCCCTAGAGGACAGAGTAGACCTGCCCTAGAGGGTTTCCATGGCTGTCAATCTTTCCTGAAGCTGACTGCCACATCTTTCTCTGCAGAGTGGCTGATGGGTTCCAACCGCCAACCTTTGGTTAGTAGCCAAACACCCACTGCACAACGAGTAATATTCCATTCTATGTACAGGCCACATTTGGATTATCCATTCATCTCTGGATGGACACCTGGCGACCTGCTCCTGTGAAGATTCCAGCCAAAAAGACCCTGCGGGGCAGCTCTCCTCTGGCACGTGAACTTGATATGCATCAAAATGAACTCAATGGCACCTAAGAGCAGCAACGCATTTTCTTTACTTTCTTTCCCAAATGTTTTATAGCTTTCAGTGTGAACAACATGTATCATCTCTCTAGTCAAATTTATTCCTAGGTGTTTCATTCTTTCAGATGTTATTGTAGATAAAATTAAGGAGCTCTGGTGGCGTAGCGCCTAAGGCATTTGACTGCTAGCCAGAAGGGTAGCAGTGCAAACTCACCAGCCATTCCTTGGAAGGAAGACTGGGCAATCTACTCCCATAAAGATTTACTGCCTCGGGAACCCAAAGGGGGCTGCTGTGAGTGGGAATCGGCTTGATGGCAGGGAGTTTGCTTTGTTTGCTCGTTTGTTTTTGGTAGATTAAATTGTTTCCTTAATTTCCTTTTCAGGTTGTGCATTACCGGTGTATAGAAAATAACCAATTTGCTATGCTGATCTTGTGCCCTGTAACTTTGCTGAATTTGTTTATTAGGTCTAGTAGCTTTTTTGTGGGGGGGATTCTTGGAGATTTTCTATATATAGAATCATGTCATCTGTGAATAGAAACATTTTCACAACTTCCTTCCTTATATGGCTACCTTTCATTTCTTTTTCTTGTCCAATTGCTCTGGCTAGAACTTGCAGTACAATGGTGAACAGCGATAGAGAAAGCTGGGATCCTCGTCTAGTTCCTGGTCTTAGGAGGAACGCTCCAGCCTTTCACCACTGTGGATGATGTTTGGGTGGGTTTTTCGTAAATGGCCATCATGTTGAGGAATTTCCCTTCTCCTCCTAGTCTGTTGACTGTTTTTATCATGAAAGGGTGCTGGAGATTGTCGTCTGCCTTTTCTGCATCAATGGACATGTGGCATTTCCCCCTTTTTTCCGTGAATTTTGTGTATTACAGTAATGGAGTTTCTTATGCTGACCCTCCCTTGCTTTATTAGGATACAGCCCATTAAACATTGTGCTGGTGTAACAAAAAGCCCACAAGACTATTAAGTGCTGCCCAGTCAGTTCAGACTCATAGCGACCCTGTGTACAACAGAACGAAACACTGCCTGCTCCTGTGCCAGCCTCATAATTGTTGCCACTCTCGAGCCCGTTGTCACAGCTACTGTGTCAATCCATCTCTTGGAGGGTCTCTCCCTTTTCTGCTGACCCCCCACTTTACCACAAGTGGGTAGCTCTAAAGAGCAGAGCCTCGTCCGTTCCCTGGATCTGGGGCTTGAAGTCTAAATTACTGCATCGGCTCTAGGGGAAGGTCCTTTGCCTCCTTTGTGGAGGTATACGGTCAGCTTTAGCTAAAACCTGGGGTTTTCTTGGAAGCCA